AAAAAAAACCTCCACCACTGAGCAGCCCTGGGGGCACCAACTACCGTATTGCCTCCCCCCCCCGGCTCTGAAAAAGAACAGGATGGGGCACCATGGTTGGGATAGATGACCTCTTGAGAGCCTGCGCCAGGCTATTTAGCCAATTTGGGGTGGTTTCCCAAAGCCATCCCTGCAGTTTAGGGCCTTTCCACACACACACACATACACCCCTCTTCAGCACATAGCTGACCTTGGCTGTAATTGGAAAAAGGCTCAGATCTGGTTAATTGGATGGATGGGAGACCACCAGAAGATCTTTTGGGTGTACAAAAAAAGGGTGCCAGAAGACGTCCGGAAATTAAGAATCAAGCTTGATTTGGGGGGGGGGGGTGGACACTTTATGTTCTAACCAAGACCTTTTTTTAAAAAAAAAAAATCATTTTCTGTACAATTAAACTCCGCTGTGTGCTTTGGAATAGCCTCCCATCTTAAAGCAACTTTGGGCCCTTGCAGCTCATAAAACAGCATAAATGAATGTGAAACTGTATACAACCGAAACTGACACAAGGACAGTCATGTGTGCAATACTGTCAGAATGATGTAAAAGCAGAATTGTTTCCTGAATTGGGGACCGTTTAATTTATTTAAACCCTATTTCATTACGGAAATACTATTTCTCCACGGTAAAATAACCGGGGAACGATTAACATTTACCCATATTGTGGTGGTTTTATTATGGTTTTACCCTAATTTAATGTTTTGTCTTGTCTGTTGTACTGGATGCTTTATTTAAACTTATATTTGTGTTTGGAGCTATTGGGATAAATATAAAAAGCAGGCTCGTTAGAGCAATAGTCTTCCCCATCATGATGTATGGATATGAGAGTTGGACACTAAGAATGGCTGATTGTAGAAGAATTGATGCCTTCGAACTGTGGTGCCGCCATAAATTATGGCGTATATCATGGACAGCCTCAGAAACTAACAGAGAGGTGTTAAATCACATAAAACCAGACACATCACTAGAAGCTAAAATCATAAGACTATGTCTGATTTCCTCTGGCCAGGTTGCGCATGCAAATTCATTGGAGAAAGCAATGATGCTAGGAATGGTTAGTGGAATAAGAAGGAGCAAGCAAAGAATATGCTGGCTTGATAACATCAAATCTGATACAAAGATGAACATCCAACAATTGAAAGAAGCTGTGCTGGAGACCACTTGCCTATAAAGTCACCAAGAGTTGGACACGACTGAATTGGTTAAAACATCAGTGATTTCATGACTTTAGATACGATAGATAGATAGATAGATAGATAGATAGATAGATAGATAGATAGATAGATAGATAGATAGATAGATAGATAGATAGATAGATAGATATGATTGGATGATAGATA